ACTCCACAAGACTAATTTAGCCTAATTTACCATCTGAACCTTCCAGTTTCCATTCCCCTGGTAGATTAAAAGCTAATTTATGGCAACATCATGCTTCTTGATGAGCATGCTCATGGTTGGACACGATGATCTCTGGAGGTCCCTTCCAACCCCTACAATTCTGTGATTTTGTGATTCTGTGATAACACATCAGCTTTGTATGTGTGATAAACAGCCCTGCAGCCTCCATTTTCATAGGAACTGTAGGATAGGAACCAAGTTGGAAGGGACTAATGAGGATCACTGAGTTGAAACTCTTGGTTTCATACAGCACCACCCAAAATCCAAAGAGAGCTACGCCCAAACGTTCCTTGAGCTCCAGCAGATCACGGCTGCGACCACCTACACTTTCTGACCTCTGAAGGCAGCATCTCCAGTGATAAAATAGTAAAATCTCTCACCTTTCAAAATACGGTGGTTGCTGGCAAATTCCTTGCTAGGACTTTTCAGGGCTCTCCTTCGTTTAACCTGTTGAATCATGTAGGCACTGCATGGCTACCCCAAGGGACAGGGATGAAAACACACCAGTAGCTTTGGCAGAATCTGTTCTCCTTGCACCCAGGAGCCTGCCCATGTGGGACAAGCTCTCCTCCCCAGCCCTCCCTGCCAGGCAGCTCACATCATGCCTATTCTGGTTATTTGCGTCAGCTGAGACCCTGACTGACTAGTATTCTCCCTCTGGAAACAAATGAGAATTTCTGATGCGTGTTGGCTGCAGTCATGTCTCAAAGAGCTGCAGACTTCTTCCTCTGCCTCTCGAGTGCTGAAGGCCAAATACGTAAGAGATATGGGAAAAAACTCTGAGATAAATGTCAAGTAAAAGCTTTTGTATCAATTTGTCCTTTTGTTTAACACGGCCTTGGATCTCTCTCCTTCCATCACGATGCCTTAATGTTTCCATAGATCTCATTTAACCTGTATTCAAAGCCCATTTATTGCCATAGAATGGCTTGGGTTGGAAGGGATCTCAAAGATCATCTAGCTCCAACCCCATTTTGAGCTGTGCTGCCCCTAATATTCTTGGTTTCAAGCCATTCACTGTGAGCAGTTATTCGCATAAATACAGAAGCCATTGCGGCTCAGGTTTTGGCTAGGCACCAACCTGAACTGAGGTAGGTCCTGCAACATCTTAGCTCCTCTGCCCACAGAAGGGTTTCCCTTTTTCCCACTCCTTCACTGAGAAGGGAGGTACCCTCCTATGGAGGCAACTTGTGCAATCTGATGGTCCTTCACCACTCGTCACCATTACCTGGGGAAGTGCAGGGGTCTGAGAAAAGAGCAAGCTATGACCTTCTGTGCACTAGGATACATCACAGTGCAGGAAACATGGACCCTGGTGACTTGGACAGTTAATTGCCTCATTTTCCTCTTGGCCATAAAGACTTTTATGTAAATGACACCAGGAGTCTGTGCACCCAGCCTTTAACCTCCAAGAGTTGCACATCCAACCATTGGTGAAGCGGCCCAGATGCCCCAGACAAACAAGTAATTTTTCACTCTTCTTCTCTCATCAGAGAAGCAGAGGACTCATCTGTATTTCTGCTCTATCTCCTACGTGCCTGACATGCCAGACACGAAGGATCCTGCGCGCTGCTTTTTGATCAGTAACAGATTTCTCTGTTCCCAGAGGAGCAGAATGCGTTCTATCAGATTCTGTCAAATCAAACAAACAATTTCGTAAGTAAATACAAGTTTGCAGGGGGTAAAGAGCAGAGAGTTTTCTGCTCGTTTCCTGTCAGAAACGATATATATGTTACAGGGTTGTAGGTTCTAGGGAACCCGTTCAGCTTGGGGCTGGAGATGATTTCCAGAGGGCCCTTCCAACCCCTATGATTCTGTGAAATATAGGACTGATGCCTAAATGGTCATCTAATCTGTCCAGTGGGCCTATATCATTTCTGAGAGACTGCCTAACTTGTGCTTACAGAATCTCAGCGATGCAAATTCCCACTGCTCCCCAGGCAGTTTGTCCCAGCCCTCCAATTCTTACATCCTTAAGATGACTTCTTAATCATCAGCACTAATTACCCTCATTGAAAGCTCCATCTGCTTATCCTGTCCATCACAGACGTGAAGTTTATTCCCTCTTTCTCTGCGTGCCAGTGACATACATCAAACAGCAGCACTTCTTGCAAAAATCCTACATTGTTCACCCTGTCTGCACCTTTGTTCAGCTGTGTGCCTTCGCTTTGGGCATTTTATAATTGGGTTTGGAATCTTGAATAGGCGAAACCACAATGTTTTCCAAGTTAAAACTGACCAACATTAACAAAAGCAAAATTACTCTGCAAAACCCCAGAAACATTGTTCTCCAGCCCGGTTGCAACATTTTCTTGGAAGTGATTATAATTACGAGTCCATTTTTTATTTCGACACGAGGAATTGCTGTCTTTTGGGCTTTGTTTTTTGGGGGGGAATTTTTTTTGGCTGGCCGGTGGAAGGAATTCAAGTGGGTTTAGCCCTGATACGGAAGACAGACGGATCTCTGAGAAGCACAGGGCTTGTCCAATATAAAGCACTGGAGGTCTGCTTTATGTTCCCGCCGGGTAAGCTGCGCTTTAACATTTATTTTTAAGCAATAACCATGACCCTGAATATCCTGTTTCACGCAGGGATGTACTTTCTTTTGAGTTCCATGGTGACATTTGACGGTGTAGCTAATTCTTCCACAAGTAGCAGGACCCTGAGGCTGTAATCTCTTGCCAAGACCTCTGGAAAGGGAGAATTCCATCCATCTTTATCCCCTCCGCTACTTCTAATCTCTGCTGTTTGCCATCTGCTGTAACCCTAACACAAAAGCTGACTTGCACCACAGAAGATGAATAAGTGAATGGAAAATTTGGGGTTGCTGATGGCTCCAGCAGGATTTAGCCCCAGAGATCTTGCAAAACATTTGCCCGTGATTGAACTCTCTGCATCTGCAGGAAACTATTGACCGTAAGGGAGCTCATCCACACGGAGTCAACGCCTGGTTGCCTCCTGCATCTTGCAGGAAGAGCAGCAAGAAAACTGCCTTTTTAACATGGAGAAAATGGAAAAGACGATAGGAAGAAAGGAAGACAGGTAATGATGAATTAACAGTGTTCCTCAATGCTCCTACTCTGCCCAGTGTTGTGCCGTGACTCCCATCTAACTCACAGGACCTGTTTCCAGATGGTATTGCTAGTGAACGACAGCCCCTTTCCAAAAGCCATGTCTGCACTAGGAGACAGCCTAATTAACCCACGGGACTTTGAAGTGTCCACAGAGGTTTCATGGAGAGTTAAAGGTTGAATGCATGGTTAGCAGGAGAGTCACAAAGCAGAAATAAAAGAGCTGATATTCTTGTCTGGAACAGATGCTCAGATTCTTCCAAAGCACACAAATACTTCAATTTCTTGTAACGCTCAGTTTGAGATACCATGGTCTTATTTAACAGGGGCTGAGGAACACAACACTCCAGGGCAGAAATGCAAGAAAGAACACCCCAAGTTCTCTTAAGTAGAATATAGGAAGTTGTTACATAAGCAGGAAAAAAAAAAAAAAAGAAATTTTGGGGCACCTTGGCGAAATTTTCACTTAAATATGTCTTAGGTTCTTTCTCCTCCATCAGAAAACTCATCCTTCTGCCTTTTAGCTGCAACCAAGGTGCAGCGGCAGCCCTGTCTTGGCAAGGCAAATCAAGAATAGGCCGAACAAATTTACTTTACAGATTTTTGTGCATCAGCATAATGATAGAGCTGCAGAAGGGCTAGGAGAAAATACAAGATGTGTGCAAGAAACCATGCGTTCTGCAGCCCTCAGACCTTCTGACAAAGATTTAATTAAACCTTCATGTAATGACTGGTGGAGCATATTAATGAGGATGCCTTTGCTGGTCTGCAGCTGACTTATTCTCCCCTTAATTTCTTGCTGTCTCCTCTCCTCTAGCACACACCAGACCTGGAACCACATGTCAGTGCTATGTGTAGCACCTTCTCCTGGCTCTATGTTTATGAAGATTCATCATCAATACAATCTTGCAGCATGCTTACAAGATAGGCAACAAGTGTCCCCATTTCACAGGGAGGGTAAAGTAAAGGTAAAGTGCCATAAGAAAGTTTTAACTTGCCAAACTAGCCATGAAGCCTTAAGCAAACGTTTGAAGAGCTCTGAGATGCAAACAGCCTATGTCAGTGCAGCTGCTCGTCCCTCATGGATGTCTCACAGAAACACAGTGGTGTCTGAGGTATCCAACCAAGCGTGAAAGGCATGGAGGTTTGTGGAGGATTGCATGCATGGGAAGTGACCAAAGAGAGAAGCATGAGGCCTATAGTTCCTATAACTCCACTGGGGCACTCCAGATTGCCAGAAGCTTTGTCCACAACCAGCATTATTAAGTACAAGACTGACTGGAGGAGGTGGTGAAAGTACAGTTATTACCTCCAAAAAAAACCCAAACAGCTTCAGCACAATCCAACCTATTTGTAGGGCACAAAGGAAAGATCCCCAGCCCCCAGTGACCATCTTGGCAGAAGGGGAATTAAAGCCTCAGCCCTTCTCTGCACAGTATGCAGCATCCAAGCACTCAGTTCAGCAACCGCCACCAAGAACACAAGCATCAAAATTTTTACTTCCTTTTGCCATTTTAAGGGCTTTCATCTACTTATAAGTTTTTGGTTTCTTTTTAGGAGAAAGAGATTGATCAGTGCCTGGGTCAGCTTCTGGCTTAGAGCATCACTCCCACCTCAGAGGGTGCCCAGATTCCAGATGATACACGTAGCCAGAAGAGAAGGGAGAAATGCACGCTGTCTCAACCCACAGCCAATTCCCTTTGACCATCCCACCACACATCTTTAAGGGCTCAGTCACCACTAATGCGTGGACGATAACCACAGATGGATCGCATCTTGGGTACTCTAAGAGGATGCAGCCAATGGAGAGGTGGGCAAAAAACAGGCAGCAGAATGAAGCAAAGGTTTTGTAAAACTGTTTGCACTTACCTGGCTGCTCCTTTGTCAGATTAAATCATAGCCCACTTGGTCCAAGTTGTCTACCAGAGTGTAATAAGCTCTTGTAGGGTGTGAACTTCAGAGCTTAAGCTCTCCTTGATAAGCTTTAATCCTTACAGCACGTAGAAAGAGAAACCCTAATTCTTCTTGGTGTTGTCAGTTGGCTGCTGTTAGTGGCTTCCTGTCGACAACAGCTGAATGACAAATCACACAGGTTTTTACACTTGTAGATATTGTAGGACTGGTAGTATAACCACACTGCTCATTTAGTGCTAATGTTAGAAATGTGGCCAGCCCAGCAGAACCGTTATCCGCAAAGGCTGTAAAAAAGCATCTAAAAAAGACTGTTCCTCCTCAACAGATGCCCCAAACTGCTCTCATTCAGGCTGATGTGAGTTGAAAGGCACCTGTGAATCCACAGGGCGTTAAAGCTTGTCTGTAAAGGGGAGGAGAAATATGGGCCCTTCAGTTTTCTAGATTGGCCCACTCACAGCTCAGAGCACTCTGGGCCAATGGTAAGAGTGGAGATATTTACTGTGCATGCTTAATTTTTGTGAGAGCTTATCAGGTTCTAGCCTGAGCAGTTTCCCATTTTGTGATTATCAGGGCTACAGTGCTGTAATCTCATTCACTTTCCATTTGAGGTTCTGCTTCTGCTTCAAATCTCATCTAAAGAGAACAGTCAGGTTCCTCCTCAGAGCTACGTTGTCATTAGGGCACGGGGAGGAGAGAGATGCAGGAGACAAATGACAGCACATAATCATATCTCTTTATTCCATGTATGTGAAGTCTCCTAAGATCTTATAGGTCTTTGGGCATAGATTGCTTCCAACCACTCAGTGGGTTTCAGATCTCCAGACCCAGCTAAAGGCCAGGCAGCTGATGTGCATCTCCTATTGGTTCTGCTGGGTTTTGGATGGAGCCTTTGCTGAGACAACACCAGCCAGCCCAAGCTTATTGCCAAACACAGGGATCCTACCTGAAGCTGGCTCATTGGTGGGTGTTCACCAACTAAGTTTTGAGATGGGGACTTACAGTTTCATCTAACAGAAGACTGAATCTCAGGTCCTGCAGTTCAGGCAGCACCACTGGCTGAGACAACATTGCCAAAGGCAATGTGGGAATGGTGGACTACCTCCAAAGAGTGGTCTTTGGAAGTTGAGAACTTTTCTTTTTATGGTTCATTCCCTATCCTGGAAAAAAAAAAGAAACCACAAAGCAGACGAATCTAAAAAGCAATCGTATTTCACACACTATTTTCATTTTAGTGACTGCTTCCAAAATGGGTCAGTTTTGTTCAGAAACAGCAACAAAAAAAAAAAAAAAAGGAAAATCAAACTATTGGGCAGAAAAAAAAAAAGTCAAAAATAGCTCTGTCTTTCACTTGTTCTCTGAGCAGAAGCTATTGGTCAGATTCAGTTTGTCATGCCACCAAAGGATGAAGTGAAACTGTTTTTTTGTCTGTCAATCAGATGCAAATCCAGGAAATCTCACCCAGTTCCTGCCATAGGAGCGAGCAGATGCTGATGCAGAGACCAAGAGGGGTGCTAAGGACAGGGATGCTGCAGCCTGCATCTTTGGAGGACACTGCTGTGCCGCAGGACAGCTTTCTTACAGCTCCTGTTGGTCTCTGCAGATGCTGATGAAATCACTGGGGAATTGAGCTGCCCATGCTGTGCAATTCACCCCATGCTGTGACAGTGGTTTCACTCAAAAATATCATAGTGTGTCACTGAGCGTGAACTGAGAAATGGCTGAATCCTAGAGAGCTCATCCACCATCATCATGTGGCCCCTATTTGTACATGTGGGGCCTCCGTGACCTTTGCAGAAGGAGCCAGCAGGTCCTTTGGATGTTGCCTAGCAGAAGAGGTCCCAGACATATGGGGCACACAGCTCTGAACTGGTGATACTGATCAGAAACAGCACGACAAACATAGGAAGATGTGGACATCTGGGATATCTCACATCTCCAGATCAAGGGTAGTAAGCATAGGGATTCCCTCAGTGAGTTCTTCTGGAGGTGCTCAAGGCTGGGATGGATGGGGCACTGGGCTGCCTGGTCTGGTGGGAGCACCCAGCCCATGGCAGGGGTTGGGACTGGATGATCTTTATGGTCCTGCTCAAATCAATGATTCTAGAATTCTACCTGAATCTCAGTACTTAACCCAAGATGGACTCATAATTCCAGAAGGGAATTCATCCCATCTTGAAACACTATCTGAGATAAGCTTTCCTTACCTTTCTCTTCTTTAGATCAGGAAGCCATGGTAACAAATTTAGGCCTGACAGAATATTTGAGCTGAAGTCTGGGTAGGTGGTATCCAGCCCAATCCCTCCACTGTCACGTTTTTCTAGGAAGATGTCCATCTGGCATTTTACTAAGTAGCCTTACTGGAAAACCAGGTAAGACTGGAAGGGTAATTCTTGGTTCACTAGCACTTCTGGAAAATAATTTACAATGATTTTGGATGAAAGAGTATCACACATACTGTTTTTTTTTTCTTTTTTTCAGCAAGATAGAGAGGAGTGGAAAAAAACTACATCTTGTTCCTGAGATTCTAAATGCTTTTTCTTCTTTGGGCTGCTGCAATGAACTGGGGTTAGCAGATTCTCAAAGGAAGCAGTTACAAATGAGCTACTTCGAATCCTTGGAAAAGGTTATGATTTTCTTTGGAAATGATTCTCAGTTCTTCACACCTTAGAGAAGTTTTTGGAGTTGAAGGGAAGAATAATTTGCTACCTTAACACATACATTTACAAAGTTCTGCAGTCCCCATATTGATTCTTTTTAAGCTATTAAAAAAAAAAAAAAAGAGTTGGTGGGCTCCAACCCTTCCATTGGGGTGGTGAACTGCAGTGAGACAGTATGAAGGGGCAAACAGCAATTACCCATAGGTGACACCCAAGCTGGATTGGGTCTTCCATATAGAGGTCCCCAGTTAAGCCATGTTGCTTTTCCACGAGGATGAGCTTAGAATCATGGAATCATAAAATCATGAAGGTTGGAAAAGACCACTAAGATCATCAAGTCCACCCAGCAACCCATCACCACCATGACAACTAAACCACGTTGCATCACGAGGTCATTTCCATCGTCCTGGATATCTCCTGGTCCCTCCAGATCCCCCAGTGACCCCTGGCCATGAGCAGCCATGTGTCCACAACCCCCTGCACACATTCTATGTACACAGTGGTTCCCTTGCAGTGACCAGAGCAAAGCATTAGCTGGAGACCTGCTGCCCTCTGTAGGTGCCTCCATCCCATTTCAAGGTTGACAAGCACACGAATGGCTCTCTGACCATTTCAGAGGACATTCCTCTCCTCCAAGTATCTATGCAGTGGTTAGAAGCTGCTGGCAGCTAGGGTAGATCAGTAGTGGAATAGTGGAATCCTCTCCTCATTCTAGTTCTGGCAAGCTGGGTTTCAGGGACTTTGTATTGTGGAAAAGGCATTTAGTTGGTGACCAGTTAAGAAGCCACCACTGATGCTCTTCCAAGACACTCCCAAGATGTGGTACTACAAAATGGCCAACTTCCATGCTGGGAGGTCCAGCTCCTCTGTGCTCCATTTTCAGGATGCCTACAAGTAAAACTACCCCAAAGCCAGGGAAAGGAGCAGGTGATTCAAATCCTAGCTGCCCTTATGAAAGAGGAATGGCTGCTTCTGCCTGTTTCTAGTGACACAAGGGCAGCGTGGAGGATTGGGCAATGAGAACAGAATTACCTCTGTAGCAAGCAACTGCCAGCTTCGGCTTTGCAAAACAACATCTCAGCATTGACCCAGGCTTTTATCATGGTGTTTCAAAGGATTCAGGTGTTCTGCTCAGGGATACTGAAGGGTGCAGCTCTGGGCACGAGCAGCTTTTGCAGCTCTGAGTGCAACAGAAAGGCCTCACTGAGCATAAGGAAAAAGAATTGAGCCACACATATGGATGGCATAGGCTCTGTAGAGGTTTATTTTGACTTCTTGCACTCAGTCATACAAAAGAATCATACAATGCCTCTGCTGATCATAGAATCATGGAATCACTTAGGTTGAAAGGGACCTCAAAGATCAGGTTCCAATCCCTGTGCCCTGTGTGGGCAGGGTTCCCAACCACTGGATCTCAGATGCTAATCTTCAGGTGCTCACCACAGGTGGTTGGGGTTAGAGCTTCATCACAGAAAGGGTTTTGGTGGAAGGAGAGGAACGACTCCCTGCCACAGGTCCTTTGAGCGAAGACGATGAAATAAATGCAAGCCAAAAATATTAAAAACCCATGAGAAGACTTCAGAGGGATGAGGCTCCAGCCTTTCACTGGCGTCTTATGGCAGCTAATTTGAAATCCATTACACAACTAAATTAAAAATAAACATTTACAGAAGAGGGAGCGGGTGGCCATGTGTGGTCTGTTACAGCGATGACAGAGATGTCCAGCCTTGGCAGCAACACCTCTGCTCCTAAACTAACCCACACCACAGCTTCTCTTCTCCTTTTAGGACAAGGGGGAATGGTTTTAAACTGAGACAGGGGAGGATTAGGTTGGATATGAGGAGGAAGTTTTTCCCCCAGAGGGTGGTGAGGCACTGGCACAGGTTGCCCAAGGAGGCTGTGGATGCCCCATCCCTGCAGGCATTCAAGGCCAGGCTGGATGTGGCTCTGGGCAGCCTGGGCTGCTGGTTGGTGACCTGCACACAGCAGGGGGTTGGAACTGGATGAGCATTGTGGGCCTTTGCAACCCAGGCCATTCTGTGATTCTATGACTCTCTCTAGCCTTGAGGCCAACTTACCCCCTCTGGCCTCACCGTGCAATGAAATGCTCCTGTCAAAGCTGGGTGGCCGCATCCAAATTGTCTTCCTCCAAGGAAGGGGCCTAAGTCTTGCTCATTTCTGAACAATGCTGATCCCTCGTCAAAACTACATGTCCCTGGGCCTTGTCCATGCCTTGATAATGTTTGGTTCATCCAGAGCAACCTGACCCAGTGGTTGGCAACCAGTTCATGGCAGGAGATTGGAGCTAGATGGGCTTTAGGGTCCTTTCCAACCCAAGCCATTCTGTGATCAGCACAGACCCAGGATTGTTTCAATGAGATGCTGCATGAAATTAGGTGCTAAGTCTAGAAATGCAGCTACAGCCCCATATCAGAGGGTTTAAGCAGCAAGGGAACAGCTCTCGTGTCTCCCCAGTCCCCATTCAGCATAAGCAATCCCAGGAAGGGTGGGTGCAAGCTGCCAGGTGGCTGGGAGAACTGATTGCCAGGCTGTTTGCATTTGCATATCTGAAAATTGACAAAACGAGGGTGCTGTCCAAGCAAAAAATAATAATAATAATAATTGCACTTGCATCAGAAATGTGAAAATGCTGTTCTTCACTCTTTGAAGTCTGCATGGTCTTGCAGGGCTGTACCCTATGCTGGAGGGGCTGCAGGGTGTGGGGATGGGGGTGGTGGGGATTGAAGCCTGGTGATGGGATT